GCAGTAGGACAAGTATGTTTGAATTTAGTTCTCCTGTGCTATAGTGCTGCATTGAAGGCTAGAATTAGGCTTGTGTTTTCTACATTTCCCTCATGTTCTCAAATGCCTGTCGTATTTTATCACAGTGTAATACACACACGGCTCAGGCGTCTTTATTTGTTAAATGAAGGGAATAGTTGATGAGCCCGATCAAGTGCCTTCAATCTAAGGGATCGGAAATTCCACTAACTTCCCATCGATTTGTCATTAATTTTTCATGCTCTCCCTTCAAACAAACAGCTTTTACAGAAAATACAGTATACCGTATAATGAACACACTGCTCTAATCTTTGATTACTACTGGTTTATAAATAAACAGAATAGTCAGTGAGCCCCATTGAGTGCATTGTTGGGTTATATACTGTGGGAAGGAACTTTCAAGAACACAAGAGCAGTGCATAGACAGCAAGGAGGCATATAGCTGAATGCTTCTTTCACGTCAAGAGTTTTCTTAAACATTTTGTAGTGCTTAATGTATAACTCAACAATGCACATGATGCAAGTTGGCTATTTCCTTTATAAAATGCTCTAAAAAATTATGTGCACCAAAACTTGTGACGTACATGGTAGGCCATGGGTATGATTTCTTGATAGAGCACATGCTTGGCATAACTGTTATTATTATATGGCTTGTGTTTGTAGCTGACATAATATGCGCCCTGATTATATATTGGCCAATTCTAGGGCATTATTCTCCAGTAACTGCCACAGGTCAATAATGGGCCTGCAAAACCATAGCAAAAAGCCGTATATTAAACAACTTATTAACCTTGAAGGTTCGGTCTTTTCAGGAAAATCTCAAACCTTAACATTGCAGTATTGACCTCGCTATCCCTCAGGCAATATGGCAAGGTCTCGGTTTGAGATCTTCCCTTAGAGACCTCAGTCTGGGTTAATAAGTTGTTTGTTACAAGGCCCATGCTTTATGGAGATTTGAGGAAGATGAACTGACCAATCTTACCATATGCAATTCCTTGAAGATTTTAATATAAACCAAAACAGAAACCTTTTAATAAAAGCAACTACTGTAAACAAAACACTCTGTATAATTCTGAAAGTGAAAAATTCCATTTAGGTCACTTAATTACCAGTAATCATGCAGAACAGTTTTCTATGGAGTATTTTTATTTCCAGTACTAGAAATAGAAGTTTATTCACTTAAAAGTCTAATTTAATGAAGATTTTTCATGGTTGGCAGCTACTAAGAATGTAAAGCTTATATTGAAGCACACTTTTTGAGTGATTTTCACATTTTGAGAGATCCAAACCTTATGCTAAATGATTTCTCATCTGCACCATACTCCTGTGATTTTCTAACAAGCACTGATGAACTTTCTTTGTCAAAACAGATGATAACCGCTTCTGCTGGACTTGCTGGGGCAGTGTTTGGTCTTATAGCAGAACATGCAGGTTTGTGTTTCACGTCCTTTATTTATCAAAGCAATTGACAGCTAGTTTTGTGTTGCACTGTGATGGGAAGAGTTGAGGAGAATACTGAAAATTGGCAACCACTTGATGACATACATGTATATGCAGGACTTGAGAAAAACTTGAATTCCACCTTTTTTGTCTTTTTCCGTTTTTTAAATTTGTTTCAATTGGTAATTCATAATTATCATTTTATACAAATGTAATATAAGTAATAAAGTATCATTAAAGGTAAACTTAAATTAAACTTAAACTTAAACTTGCCCTCGGGAAAAGAAGCTCTAAAATTTTCCTTGTGCTGGGCAAGTCTTAGTTTACTCTTTAAATGATTTAGTTGGCGGACGAGTTGCCAAATCCTTTGCCCATTGGGCAAGTGAGAGTGAGACATCACTTGCCCAGAAGGAGAATCTACTTATCCCGGACACCTGGACAGTTCTTTTTTCAAGCCCTAATATGTGTACAAAATTCTTAGTCAGAACTAATACTGAAGCCCTAGGGATTCCCTAAGAACTTGCGTGTAAAGTCTTTTCAGCAAAAATATAGAAAATCTATTAGTGCATGTAACTTTTGTTAGTTGGAAACAGTGCCAACCTGTTGAATCTACATGTATTCAGTGAAACTTGTTTTAAGAAGACACCCAAAGGACTGTTACTAGCGTCCACGTAATAGAGTTGCCCACTTACATGTAATACAGGTTTGAATATTGTAGAACTTACTGTGTCTGGTGTCTGCTTAATACAAGGTGTGAGTGTTTGTATAATTTAGGGTGAGAATTTTGTTTGGTCGTCANAATACTGAAAATTGGCAACCACTTGATGACATACATGTATATGCAGGACTTGAGAAAAACTTGAATTCCAGCTTTTTTGTCTTTTTCCTTTTTTTAAATTTGTCTCAATGGGTAATTCATAATTACCATTTTATACAAATGTAATATAAATAATAAAGTATCATTAAACGTAAACTTAAATTAAACTTAAACTTAAACTTGCCCTCGGGAAAAGAAGCTCTAAAATTTTCCTTGGGCTGGGCAAGTCTTAGTTTACTCTTTTAATGATTTTGTGGGCGGTTGACTTGCCAAATCCTTTGCCCATTGGGCAAGTGAGAGTGAAACATTACTTGCCCAGAAGAAGAATCTACTTATCCCAGACACCTGGACAGTGCTTTTTTCAAGCCCTAATATGTGTACAAAATTCTTAGTCAGAACTAACACTGAAGCCCTAGGGATTCCCTAAGAACTTGTGTGTAAAGTCTTTTCAGCAAAAATATAGAAGATCTATTAGTGCATGTAACTTTTGTTAGTTGGAAGCAGTGCCAACCTGTTGAATCTACATGTATTTAGTGAAACTTGTTTTAAGAAGACACCCAAAGGACTGTCACTAGCGTTCACGTAATAGAGTTGTCCATTTACATGTAATGCAGATTTGAATATTTTAGAACCTACTGTGTCTGGTGTCTGCTTAATACAAGGTGTGAGTGTTTGTATAATTAAGGGTGAGAATTTTGTTTGGTTGTCACCATGCATTCTTTTTTAATGTGCTTTATTTTGTCAGGAGATTCAACAGCATGGGTTCTTCCATTTACGTCAGGGGGATTTATCTAC